TGCCTTAATGTGAATGTTTTCTTGAATGCCGTTTTAAAATCATCAAAGGATTTAATTATGCTAGATTTTTCACAGTACCATTTTCTGGCACCCACTAAATGCACTTTTGCTGTTTCTAACAATACTTCCTGTGGCCAGTTATGCAATATTGCTGTGCTTTCTAAACTAGATAACCAGTCTAAAGCGCTCTTGCCCAATGTTTCTCCATCAAAGTTGGCAATTGTTTGGCTAAAATCTGGTACACCCGGTAAAGAGTTTCATTTTCTCGTTGATTTGATGTCAATAAATTTAGAAGCTTGTGTTCTGTTGTTTTTCGGTTCTCTTCCATCGTTTTCATCATCTGCATGAACTGGGACATCATTTGGCATTCCATACTTGGCTGCGTATTTTCCTTCGCACTTTATAATTCAATTAAATTCCCTCGAAGTGCGTTTTCTTCAAACTGTTGGAACTCTCCAAGATTATATGACATTTTTCAGGTTATGGTAGTTCAATTCTCTTTAGGCGTTGGATGCCTTCTAACTTCTCACTGACCGACAAGTCTAGTTCTTTTCCGCTAGTGATATTGGCAGTACTGGCACTACTGATGGAACACTACTCCCACTCTACTCTTCCGTTATTTTGGGACGTTAGCTTCTCCGATTTTTCCCTCGCTTTTCTTTGAGGTTATGTCCTTTCCTTCGATACTTTTCTCAATATTTCGTCTCTCTCGTCACACTGTACTTATGCAGTTGGCTTTTTGGTTTGTCTCCCAACATAAGAGGATTAGTCAGGTTAGCTTCTAGGGCCGGGTAAGGGGGCCAGAAATGTTCTACTACGCTTTTGAACTTTATTTCCCTTTCACACTACACTGCTCGGCCATATGTCTATTCTCTACTCAATACTCATGTTACTAAACATTTACAATGTTTTAAACTATACTATGTGCTATTATTAACAATACTAATAACTAAGGAGCGGAAAAAATGCGCATTTAAATGCATAAAGTTTTCAGAATATATGCATCGAAATGAACAAAAAATGCAAATATGCATTTTTATTATATGAAAAATTATGAACATTAATGTTATTTTAAATAAAGCCAGAACTATTTCTTTATAATTAAACCCGTTCTTCAGAAATCCTATAATTTTTTATCTATACCACAGACTTATTTGAATAAATATAAATGAAACAAAAAAAAATCGTAATAAAAGTTTTTTATTCATAGATACACACATTGATACTTACCAAATTGCAAACCATAAAATCTAAAACATAAAAATCTTACAGTGACAAAATATTATTTGCGATTATAAAAAAAAATTATAATACAATTAATAATTCAACAATACCATTGATACATTCAGATAATAGCAACTTGCACAACATACAATTCGTAAATTACCAAACTATTCTTTGCAGTTATAAAAACAATTGATAACTAAATGTTTTTCAAAATTTTCCAAAAGAAAATTGTATCTTTTATCTGTAAACATATGTTTAAAAATGGAAAAACTTCGCTCAACATCTACAGAAGTTTTCGGACAGTATTTTAATTTTGGAATTAAGTGTGTTTCTAATTTATACAAATCCAGTTCTCTTTCGAAATTAGTGAAATTGCCTATAAAAACTTCTGAAATATTTTTTGGGATTTTGAAGCCTGTGTTATTTTCAATTACTGACATACATTTTTTTTAACCGCAACCCCAACAGTACCTGAAACTTTTTTGCAATCTACCTCAAATTGATTTATTAAAGCCACTGAATCTGTCAAAGAAACAGAGGTAGCCTCCAATTTCGTGAGTGCTACAGGTACAAAAGAATAATTTGTTTTTATAAATATTAAATTTTCTTTTACTTTTGGGTTAGAAAAAATAGTTTTTGCATTTATTAGAGCGGCAGAAGACGAGTCGTTTAGATCTTCGATAACTTTTTTAACTAATTCAAAGTTCTCGGCATAAAATATAGCAGCGGCTAACCAAGTTCCCCAGTGAGTTATTACTGGTTGTGGTGGTAATTGAATATTTGGACAATTTTTCTTATAAAATTGAACACGCGAAGGTGCTTTTAGAAATACTTTTTTTACTTGATTAATTAAATCATTTACCAATGAAAACTGGTCTCTTATACATTCTGCCACCCTATTGATACCATAAGCCAAACAAGTAACATGAAATAGGTTAGAATAAAATATTTTTAAATTTTGTGCTGCCTTAATCATATAGGGTGCAGCATCCGATAAAAGGAGTATGAATTTTTCTGACGGAACGCTGTTGGGCAAAAAAAAGTTGGTTAATGTTTCTCGAACAAATCTGGTTACACTTAAATTGTTGGTTTTTTCCAATTGTTTGGATGCAATTAAATAGGATCTACCATAATCATTGGTTTCCCTTAAGACTCCAATCAATGCGTATGCAATATATCTCCCACATGAGTCAGTTGTTTCATCAACTACAAGATTACAAGATAAAAATAATTTTCACCCACTTTTTTCTTAATGTCATTTACAGTTTGTTTGTAAATGACATCAACACTACCTTTACGTACAGTTGACTCGTCCGGTATGTTAAATTTACAATATTTTATCAAAAATGATCTTAAATCAGTTTTGTAAGTGGTATACTGGCTTCAATGAATGCCTTACATAAGTCATCATTGAACTGGGCTTGTTCGCCCGTGTTTTTTAGTTTTTCTTCAAGACAATGTTGTATTGTTTGCTGGGAGGGTTCCCCTCGTTGCAATTTTCGCACGTTGAGCTGGTGTTTTACTGATTTGACATGCTGATCCACAATAAATTTTTTATCTGCATGAATCTGTAAAATCCAAAAAAGCAATAATTAATTTGGGTTTACATTCGTTAAAAAATCGAATTTTAAAAAATGCTTGAATACGTAATTTATAAAAGCCAAAATTTCCTATTATACCAAAAAACATATATCTTTCTTTATTCACTATAGACTGGAAAAAAAAATAAATGTGAAAATATGGTTTATACTTACAATTTTCGAACAAGCTGTACAAAACAACGACATATGGAAGTTAGTTTTCGGCATTTTAACAAACACTGGCCAGACAGACACAGACACAATCCACTTTACAAAACAAGACACACAAGAACGTTTCAAGTAGACGATATCAAATATGTACATTAAAAATTGCCACCTCTTTGAACTATCGGATTCTGTTTGCAATATTAATTGCTTTTACTGAGAATACCCTATAGTGTGGGTTTATCCTGGGTAATTCTATGAATCTATACCTGAGTCGGCCCCATTGTTATGTAATAATTTGTGCCGTGCAATAAACAAGCAATCGAAAAGGGCCGGACAGGGTCTTTACNCTATACCTGAGTCGGCCCCATTGTTATGTAATAATTTGTGCCGTGCATTAAACAAGCAATCGAAAAGCGCCGGACAGGGTCTTTACTTGGCAATAAAATGCAATAAATGCTCTATTATTGGAAAAAATGCATGTTTTGTACAAAAAAGACAAAAAATGCAAAAAATTCAACAAAATGCATTTTGCATTTTCTCCGCTCCTTACTAATAACGTCTTTTCAACTTCGTCTTCACGGCTTCACTTCTCGACTTCCTTTCCTCCCTTCCGTCTCCTTCATACTCTTTTTCTTCTTCTTCATTTACACCACATATTTACATTATTTATTGGTTCTTTGGTGGACCTGGTGTCTCCACCACGGTTTTCTTTAGGAAATTTCCCTGTCATGTGGTGCTGTCTACAAATATTTAGCACTCTAAATGTGGAGATTCCCAGAATTTGTAAAAATGCTTTACCACACACCTGAACAAGTCCAAGCAGTCGTGACTTTACATAGTAAGTGATGGTAACTCCTTTTTGAGAACCTTCTTTATCACTTGGGCGTCGTCGTTTGGGTTATCCTGACTGGTATATTTTAGAATAAAACTATCCTGGGACACTTTTATCTCGATTAGTATAAAATGCTTCATGGAAGCGTCTTATGTCTTGCATAGGGAGATCATTACAACGAAAGTTTTTTTTCTTGTGTACGCAAGTTGGCTGTTTCGGTAGTCTCTGCGACTTTCTTCTACATTAAACAAAATAAACAAAAATTAGTACCACAAAACAACGGATATATTAACAAGATATAAGTTATGTTTAGGCATTAGCCTGGTTAAGTCGGTTTATTTTGTTTAGTGAAATAAAATAAGGAAGCACAATTTTTTTCTACTTTTTTGTAAAATATTTGAATTGGTTTAATACCTTTATAAAAAAGTAGAAAAACTATGTAGGAGCTACCCTAATAGCACAAAGACGTCCTATGAACATCCAAAGGATGTCCAAAGTCGGAAGTCCGGACATCCAATGGACGTCCGGTTTTTTATCGCTGGACGCCCATTGGAAATCCCACGGACGCACAAATGTCACAACTTCGTGCAACCCAGGGACGTCCACTACCGTACCACTTTCGGACCCACAGATGTTCGCCTCTCTACCAAATTTGTGCTACCCATAGATGTCTTGTTTTGGACATTTAATGTAGGTTTACTTTGGAATTATAGAAATACTTTTGGTAATATGTATTTATTGTTTTTCTAATTATTACATGAATAACAAATACATACATATTTAAGAGATCCATATAATTCTCTCTAATACATCTAATGTCTCTATCTAATATACAGGCTGTTACAAAATCGAGTCAATAGCATTGCTATCTCGGTAACTATAGGAGATATAGAGAGTTGGTTAAATGGAGGCAAAGTTGCGCACTTTGATGTTCAATAATTTGCCAAAAAATTCACACTATTGGATCACCCTGTATAACTTACGATACTGTTTATTAAATATTTATTCGCCTTTGCTTCTCTTCTTTTTTTCCTCTGCATCACTCCTTTCCTTACTCCTTAAATATATTTTTATTGCTTCTTCGATTTCTTTTATTCTCACACAATGAAATTTTTTTCAGTCGCCAGTTGTAGTAGTTCATTTGTGACTTTTATAATCGACGTGGATAAAACAGTTGTTGCTGAAGCCGAATCTACAACACACCCTCTTAGATCACCGCTTCGTCGATTTTCATCTGGGTGGAGTTTGGGAATCGCGTCTATAACCATGGGGGGTGACCATGTGGATGATGTTGCGTTACCAGACTCTTCAACTTCACCAGCGCCATCTACCCCCGATGATCTAAGTCAGGACCTCGTGATGGGTAAGATAGTAGTTAAATAGAACCTAACATCTGTCTCAAAACTAACAATGTAATTAATTATAGGTCGACTAGTGGTGTGGCTGAATAATCCAGACATGGTGGAGGCGATAGCGGATGAGGGGGAGAGAGCTAATGCCGATGGTAAATATAATATATTTACCATACATACATCAATCAAAACAGTTAATGCAATAAGTACCGATGATGCTGCCATCTAACAACGAATAGAGAAAGGTTGCTTGGGTCACTGTTGCCCTAAAGATATTATTATTAGGAATAAAAATGCAAATGAAAATGAAAATTGTGAATTCGTGGGTTAGGTCACTGTTGCACTAATAGCCTCATATATATTATTTAACTTTAAAAGTGGTGTACCTATGTTTTCGAGCGACCTTTAAAAATAAATATTAACGAACTAATAATCTTTTTATTGAATTTGATAAGCAAAAGAATAGAAATAAATTAAGAGACACTTAAAAATTTTCTCGACGCTAAATTTATTGAAAAAAAATTTTGTTTGAGCTGATTTTTTGAGGGGGCTCTTAAAACATGATAAACTTACATATTTTCACAAGACACGAAAAAAAATATTTTTTTTTTTGGCCACCCTAATATACAGGGTCGGAAAGTCCACATGGTTCATCGGCCGTTACGTAAGAGCGATAAAGAAACTCGTAGAAATCCGTGCGATAGAGAAAGATGGCTATAATGAAGGCGTCTAATAGTCACCGCCCATTTCTCCCTTCCACAAATAAGATCCACTTCTTATTTGTTCATTTATTCATTATAGCCATCTTTCTCTATCGCACGGATTTCTATGACTTACTTTATCGCATTCACGTAACGGCCGATGAACCATGGGGACTTTCCGACCCTGTATATATAAAACGTATTATAAAAAATCTAATTAATACAATTCTCTTTCATTATCAAGAAAGAATTGAGGTGATAGACTTATCAGAGGAAGATGTAGATGATGATGGTGAAAATGACTGGGTTGGTGTTGACGGTAATATAAACAATAAATAAATGCATTATGAAATCTAATTATCACAATTTTCTTTTTACAGAGCTTATAGCCATGGGTGCCCTCCCACGGACATAATTTTTTTTTTGTAATCTGCCGTAGTTAATATATGTTTTTAAGTTAAATAGAAAATGGTTTTTTATTATGCATGCCACTTCCCTAACCGCACACTGTAGTTCATAATCCATTTTTGTTCAATGTGAGTGGGCATGCAACACATACTACTATTGGTTTGACCAATGTAGCACTTACTTCATTTTTAATAATGTATTTTTTTAATTTTAATATTTCAACAATAACAATTTTAACCAAAAAATGTTGACCTATTTCTGTTCATTTGTGTGGTCACAGTTTGTTTTGTTAATTAACATCAGTCTTTTTCCAAGTGAATTTTTATAATTTTATTATTGTTATGTTTTCTCAACATGCCATCATCATTGTGAACCCTGGATTTCAACTCCTGAAGAAGAGAATGATTTTCTCTAGGCTAGGATAAACTTTTTTTGGAAAAACGCAAAAACCCGTCGATTTTGTTTGTTAGGGGGACATCTTTTTGCATGAATTAGATGGTTCTAACTGCTACCCCCTCAGCGGGGTAAACATCCCCTCCAAATTTTTAAATAGTAAGGGTGGTCAAGTTGCATATCGTTGAAAAGCTCTTTTGATTCTCTACACAGTCATGGGTCCCTTTTGAAAATCAACCCATTTTTTTAAAAGATAAAGGGTGCAGAACTTAACACATACAAAATTTCCTATTATCTCTACAAATTATTCTCTAATTAAAATTCGCTATCGAGTTCGCTATTGATTTCAAAATCATTAAGTTAAAGAAGCGTCTAAACATATCCAAATGGCTGGAAATAATTGACCAGCAACTTCCATTCAATAATAAATAATTTTACGTGAACTATTCTCATTAGTTACTCCAACGTATTGTTAGATTGTTTGCAGTTATTTCTTTCACAAATTCCACTAAAAACGGTATAGATAACAGACCATTTTTCAGTCAGCGATTTTGTCGTAAAGTGATGTTAGCGGTTTTAGTGGCTGTAAATGGTGCGTAAATACAAAATAATTAAAAATGGTTTATTCGATCCAAGAGAGGGTGGAAATAATTGAATTAGTTTATAAAAATAACGAATGTTGTTTACTGAACGACATGCCAATAAACCCGTCCTTCGCAAAATTGTCTTGGAGTTAGTAAGAAAATTGCAGGAGAGGAGATCTGTGGGCAATAAAAAGCGAAACAATGAACGTCCTGTTGTACGTAATGAAGCTGTGGAGGTTGCAGTTCTGGGACACGTTGCTTTAGATCATAGGCCAAGTACACGGCAATTGGATTCTGTAAGCGGTGTTTAAGTCGGGGTAGTGTACAACGAATTTTAAAACATTACAAGTTCGATCCTTACAAAATTCACCTTCTCCATGAACTTCACGAAGATGACTGACCGCCGGGTACAATTTTGCGAGGTCATGACTGAACGGGCGATGCATAATCCAAATTTTCTTTTCAACATTTGTTTTTCCGATGAGTGCAGCTTTTTCCTAAATGGCACCGTCAACCGCCATAATTGCCGTTACTGGACAGACTCCAATCCAAGAATATTCCACGAACAGCATACTCAACACCCAGAAAAATTAAATGCTTGGGCTGGTATCTTTGGTAATTCCCTTGTTGGTCCTTTTTTTATAAATGGTAACTTGACTGGTGATATGTATTTGGAATTGCTGTAAGAAGCTATTGATCCAGCCTTAACGGTAATTATGGAAAACGATAATGATTATCTCGAAGATGAACTGATGTTTCAGCAAGACAGGGCTCCTCCCACTATGCCCACCATGTGCGCGAATTCTTAAACAATACATTTCCGAATCGTTGGATAGGTAGGAGAGGTACCATTGGATGGCCTCCTAAGGTGTACGGCTAACAACCGGTTAACAGACAGCTAACAAACGGCTAACAAACGGCTAACAAACGGCTAACAACGGCTAACAACAGCTAGCAACCGGCTAACAAACGACTAACAACCGGCTAACAAGCGGTTAACAAACGGTTAACAACTGTTGTTAGCCGTACACCTTATAGGTATAGCTCATTTGATGTTTAGCATCCAACATGTTCACATGTAAAATCTGTAGTGCTGCGTTTACCTGTCGCAACAGCTTAAGTCATCATACGAACAAGCATAAAGATAGAAAATTTGAGTGTAATTTATGCAACGACAGTTTTACAAGGAACGATAGTCTGAACGCTCACATAAAGACTGTTCATAAAGACAAACACTTGACATCGCCATATGGAGAAAGCAGTGAAAAAACTGCGAAAGACGAGGAGAATACCTGCAATGGAAAATATATGTACAGACATCACAATAATAATAGCCAATCGTCAAACATGGATAATGATGATGAACAATTTGAAACAGATTGTGAAAGCAGTGACGATATGCTAGAAAGAGAGAGCGGAGACGATCCCGGCGAACTTGTAAATGCTATTTACGCTATTATATCGAAGAGTGTCGTTTGACTAAAGTACATCGCCTCTTCAGAGGCAACAACAAGCTACATAATATGGGAATAATTCAGTAACTTACCAGCATCCAATCATCTCCACCTCATCATTCCCATGCGTCTTTAGATACCAGGTCGAGCTGTTACGCCATCAGATGCGCCAGCACAGTCGCCGCCTTGTCGTTGACTATAGCCACTAATATCCGTTACTTATTCAAGTAACGAATAAGAAGTATCGATTAATTACAATATCGACATCACTATTATTCAGCCATGTCTCGTACATTCACCATGTTTGGACAATCCAGCGTACTTGATACACACTTCTACCCACCCATTGAACTGGATGGAAGTCGACGTTATGGTTTGGGCTTACTCGGTTTCTATTCCTACAACTCGATTCACAACGTTGATGAAAGTAACAATATATACGCGTACAGAAAGAAAAATAAAACCGCACCTGAAATCATAAAAATACCCCCTGAGGTATATAAAATAGAAGAAATTAATAATGCAATATTGACTGATATAAATATTAACAGCAAGCAGTTGGACAATGATGAGACGCTATTTTCTTTACGTTCTAACAACAACACGTTGAAATGTGAAGTGCATTCCAAATACGAAATTGATTTTACATCTTCCAATTCTGTGGGAAATCTGTTCGGTTTTGAACGAGGACGATTTCAGGTCAATAAAACTCATGAATCTACTTTACCTGTTAACATTATGAAAGTGAGAATTGTGCGTATAGATTGTAACATCACATCCGGTGCATATTTAAACAGTCGGCCATCGCATACACTATTTGAATTTGATGTTGATGTGGAACCCGGTCACAAACCTACCAAGGAGCCGCAAAATATTATTTATATGCCTGTTCGACCGAAGGGATGTCAGTTTATCGACAACATTGCTTTGAATATTTTAGATGACAAAGGTGATTTGATTGATTTTCACGAAGAAAACATAATTGTGAAACTTGAGCTAAAACAATTAGCCTGAATAATATACAGGGTGGGCCACCAGTAACGCCTCGGTCGCTAGGGACCCAACGGCAAATGTTACAGAAACTTGTTTAGGTGATTTTGAAATATACAGGGTGTCCAGGAAAAGCGTACCATATCAAAGTTATGTATTTTTAAATGGAACTCCCTGTATTTTACTGCGTTTTTGAAAGCGCCATAAAAAATAGGTGAACTTTATTAAAGGTTCTCCATACCTAGGACTTACAGTTTGTGAGATATTTCAATTTTAGTGAAAATGCAGGCATAGCGTAGAAATTTAATATTAGCAATAAAAAAAGGTAAAAAAGGTAAAAAATTGGAAGGTCTATTTTAGATCCTTGAAGTTATAAATTGTTATATTTGTCATCAATTAGTATTACACAGGGTGTTCAAAAAACTGCTGAATACTTCTCTCAACTTTAAACAGCAATCACTTGGTTATTTTAAATGGGACACCCAGTATATTTTTACTTTGGGAGTTAGGAAATTTAAAACTCTCAAACTGTGTATAGGTTTCCTATACCTATCTCTAACGGTATTGGAGATATTTGTGCCGTTTCGTTTTTTATCGATTTCTTTTTTATAAGATGTATCCACGTGTCTTTATTGAGGTCTTTATTGAATTGGTTTGTGTTCTTCTTGATGACGTCTTTTTAAATATATGGATCAATTTTAATTGTATTGCCATTACCATTTTAATCTTCCCGGTGTAAACAGTCACTACATATATAGAGAAATATTATTAGTGCAATATGAGGGTTGGCTATGATTTTTAGCACAAATTATAAAAAACTAAAATTTCCGTATTTTACTATTTTAAATAGAACCTGTCTAATTTAATTATTTAAGGAAACATATAGTTACCTATTAAAAGTTTGGAAATGTTCAATTTAGAAAAGCTTTCTTTGTGTTTCAAACCTAACCAACTAACCTGTGAGGCTAATTTATTTGACAAAAGCTTCTTTAAAGCTCTTCTTATGAAATCGTTCACCGAATCGCATCCTAATTTTGCTAACTCCATGACCTATAAAAAATGTTATTGAGGTTCATATTTAAAAATTACAGCTCAATCTATACTATAACTAATACTGTTTAGATAAATACGAGTCACATTTTACCAGATTTCTTAAAATCATTGTCCAAAAAATTGTTACATATATTGAAATGAATGACATAATCGATTTGTTCTACTAACTCTAAGGAAGGCTTTCTTAAATAGTGGTAGTTAGTTAACCAGTGATTGTGAAATCCACCGATTAGAATTAAATATTTAAATTTGTGAAAAAATATAAGAGACACCGCATGTGCAACAGGCCCATTAACAGTGAAATGACTGATAACTGATTTAATCCTAAGTTAATAGAAAGGGGTGTTGGCAAATATAGCTGTAAATCAGATATAATTACCGAATTTTTCATATTTTGATCCTAGTCTGTCAAAAAAGTGTCAAATTGATGTAATTCTTCCACACTTATCAAGGGGAAATTAAATTGATTCCATAAGAAATTTTCTGGACTAGTCATCGATTTATCCACAGTGCCCTTTTTTGTGTTTATATCAACTTTTATGTCAGCTACCTGTAGTTCCAGCATTGAGAGTTTCATGAAGCCAATACGACCTCTTTCTTGAAAGCAACAGCAGATGATGTAAATATCTTAAGTCATCAATTGTTAATTTTTCTTGATTGCTCTGACCATATAAATGCAATATTATCTTCTCAGCAACATCGTACAATTCTGTGATCGAACTATCAGGCTTATAAAAAATTGAAGTCGATTCTTGTAACTGTGTATTTTTTTTCAATAGAGATATATATATTTTTTTCTTTTTTGAAAATAGCAATGATTGTGGCACAACCAGCAAAAGCATGCACAAACAGCAGGAATGGTTTTAAATTTATGTCATGTAGTGTAGAATATATAACTTTTGCTTGCTTCCCTGCGGTTAAATCTCCCTCGTATTTTCGAGCCAGATCTGCTCCATACTTTTGCAGTTCTTCAATTGACATTTTCAAAATATTAGTACCATTAAGAAAAGCAAAATTCAAATTCAGCATGGTAGCACAATCAAACCTCTTTTTAATTTTTGATATGATTCTATCAAATACCATTATTATTTCTTTAGAAAATAGTTGAACAGAGTATTTGTAATTCGTCTTCACACATCTCATCGAAATGTTTTTTACGTTTCGGAATTCGTTTGTTTTTCCAATAAGGGTCAACTCCACTTTTTTCAGCAACTTCTTCAGCCTCTTTTGTCCAATATTCCATTGGATTCTGTCTCATTTTTTGCAAAGTTTTGGGCAGACCATCCATTAGCGCGACGCATAGTGGTTCAGAACGGCCTAATCTCTGGCCAAAAGTCGAAAAGTGAGAATAATAATTCCAAAATTTCCAATTTTAGGTTATTGGGGTCGCTGATTACGAATTTGATTTCAAAATTATGAAACTCAAAATGGCGGACATTTTGGAAAAATAATCAATTTATCGGTCCGAAAATTTGCACCATTAGGTGTTTGGGGTCGCTGATAACGAATTTGATATCAAAATTATGAAACTCAAAATGGCGGACCAAAAATGGCAGACATTTTGGAAAAATAATCACTTTATCGGTCCGAAAATTTGCACCATTGGGTTTTCGGGGTCGCTGATTACGAATTTGATATTAGATTCATGACATTTGAAATTCCAAAATGAGAAACAATTTTGTAGAATATGTGCATTTTTATTTTATCTCACTTACATAATTCCATACAATACATCCCATTGGATTAATTCCATTGGATTAATTAAAAATCATAATCTGGGTCAGATGGATCCGTCGTACATGTGTCGATTTCTGCTGAGGGTAAGCTTCTATTTGTGACATCACCTTCTGGTGTTGCCAGTAGAAGTTCTATTACATCAGAGGGTAATGGTGCTATTCTTCATTTTTAATTTTTGAAAATTTGTTATGAGTGGGTCCGAGGATGCAAGAAGCCGACGAAAAACGTCAGACATTGTCTTCTCTCGCGTACATTTTCGAGAAAAATTTTCGCGGTACCGACGAATGTCCTTGTTCCTCGCTTCTTGAGCGTCCTCGGAAAGTTGGCCGATTGGCAAGGCCCTCGCTTCTATTATCGCGTAGCCATGAATTAAAACGATATGTACCGATGTTGGCATCGGGTACCAGGAATATAGCTCAACATATCGTTTCGCGACGTCTAAGCAATAAACCCTGAACTTGTCTATATGTACAGCGAAACCGCTCGTCATTGTCTGCAAAATTACTTTGCAACTTGCTATGAATTTTTCGTCCAAATTCAAAATTTCTGCTGTTAAGTCAACGTTCTTAAAAAAACGTCGGGCTGGATTGCCGTTGTTTTTCCTGCCAAATCCTTGCTTAGGCATATCAATATTTAAACCTAAAGCAGCTTTAAATTTCTTTTGGATTTGTTCCTTACGATTGCCAACTACTTTCTTTTCAAGGACTGATCGCGCCTGTCATTTACTCGTCTCATCATTTAATTTATATGCAACATGAAACATCCGTTCCATAAACCTTATCCACGCGTGTAAGGAAGAAATTCCAAAATTTAGTTTCGAGCTGCCACATTCTGTTTGTTCCACCAATTGTAAATTGTTGAAATTTTTCGACGTCAAATTACATAAATAACACCTTTGCGCGCAGATTTAGTGTCAGTAATAGCATTTCTCACCTTTCCGTCTATCATTGTAAACGATAATTCATATTTCACTTCAACGTTAGTACCTTCCGTTACTGTAGCGAATGTGACGATGCCCCAAACCCCCCTCTACAAGAATCCATTTCAAAAACATCGATCTTTCAACCTTCATATTTCGACCTTTGGCCGGGGAATTGGCCGTTTTGAACCACCGTGCGACGGAACGGGCAAGGATAATATCTTCTTTCTGAATTTCTATATTTACTCAACGGATTTCGCCCAAATAGTTAAATTAAGAATAAATTTAAAATCCTTTATAGCAGTTAAGAGATGACCTACCTCGTACTTAGCTTCTGGAGCATGAGAAGTTTGCTTAACTTCTTCTAAGGCTTCCGCTATTTCTGGCAAATTATTTAATAGGGCATTCACAGCAACATGTTTCGCCGACCATCTCGTCTGACTACTTCCTTCCACCTAGTAGTGGAGCCAACAGAAAAGCAATATACTTTTTGAATCAATCTAAATAGTTTAATAACTTCCTGGTATGATGAGGCAGAATGAACACCTACAAGATTTAAGAAGTGAGCCAGCTCATTCCTTTCTGCAATCCTGGCTTGTACTCCTTTATGGATGCCGGCCATATTGGACCCATTATCATAATATTGGCCACGATATTGTCCAATATCTAAATCATCAACTGCCAATTTTTCTAAAATCTGTTGACAAATGTCCTCTCCTGTCTTTCCAGCAACTTCTATGAAATCAATGAAACTTTCTTTTATTTCACACACATCGCCTGTTCTTTTTACATATCGAATTACCTGGCTCATTTGTTCTGTATGGGATACATCTGGAGTGCAGTCGAACATTATCGTGTAGTATTTGGCTTCTTTGATGTCATTTAAAATGCTATTTCTAACTGTTTTTGCCAATATGTCAATTATTTCATTCTTGTCTTTAATAAATATGATACTTGTCCCTTTTTGTTGTTCTAAGTTAAACTTAAGAGTTGAATTATGTTTGGCGAGCAGGGAAATTTAGTTCAAGAAGTTACCTTGTCTAGGCTGAGGACATTGTGTGATAAGATCGCTAGGAGTTTCGTGGGACCCGCGAAAAGAAAGGCAGTTTGTGGATAGATACAATACAGCATCCATAACAATACGCAGGATCTGTCTCCATTTTTCTTTCTCTGAGTGAATTACTCTCTCAATGTCTTGATCAATACCCTGGCATGATTTCATTTGTTGTACCCGTGTTTTCCACTTGATCATACACTCTTTGTGCATTTGAGCTGCCTCGTGTTCGGTTAATCTCTCTGAAATTTTTTTCCAATTAATAAACCCTGTAGAACACGATGCAGATGTGGCGGTAAAAGACGGTTTCTGGTAAATCTTGCAGCACGCACAAAAAAATTTTGTCTTAGAAAATATAAGCCAAGATCTTTTAACCCTTTCACAATTAACCAACGTCCTGTACCACATAGAAAATGTTAAATGTCTGCCATTGCGTTCAGTAGATCTAAGTTCAATGTTTTCGGTGTGATTTTCTGCTAATAATACAGCCTAATTGCTAAAGAAATACCGTTGTTGGTCAGTAATTTTTTCCACCCCTGGCCAATTGACTGGGTCCATCAAATCCGAATTTTTTGCAGTTCATCCGAATCCGAGTGCGTGGATTTAGATCCTTCGTATTCTGGCTTTGTTTTTTCAAGTTGCTCAGGTTGCTCTTCGCACATCGATAAAGACGATGAAGTTTGCACTGTGAAATCAGACTGTGAAAAATCTTGATCCGTTGTGCGAGAAACATCCTGTAACTCAATATCAATTTCGGAAGTTGCAACAGATACTGACGGGTCACCCCCTCTGCGAAGCCAATTTTTTATATTATCTGCACATTGTTTTCCCTGCAACTCCTTATATCTAGCCTTTTTCCTATATTCCGCTCTCGATAGCTTTTTTCTTGGTGCGCTCATAATTACAACCTGTAAACAAAAATAATCAATTTCCTTGTTGAAAACATTTCAATCTAATAAATATTTTTAGTAAATAAATCGACCGAGAAGCAAGATCATTGCATGGAACAATTAAATTTTCAACTCAACGCAACGTAGGTACTACGATCTGACTACAATTTCACTAACACTACAATTTACGAGCGGGGAGTAATGATATCGATGAGTGTGCGCGAGCGCGTGGCTACCGCCCGAGTTATAGGTACCTACGCGCCGTCGACGGCGTCTGAATTTTAAGTAAGTTTAAATAATGACGAATTGACGACGTAAGTGATTGCACGTATTAAATTGAATTTAAAAAATAAATATAGTAACTTAAAAAGCATAAGATAGTTATGATAAAATACTTACCTAGAAAGGCGATCGATGAGCTGTGATAGATTTATTGATGCGACACTAATACAATCAGTATTTTACCTTCGGTTGATCGACAATTACTAAATAGTAAATATAAACAAACAACACACATGTTTAAAACAAAACACTGTCGTGGAGAAAGATCGACGAGGGAGTTTTCGAATATAGCTTCATCCCTTTCGCACGCACGATAACCACACGCGTGCTGCCGTCATCTGCTATTCCTGCGGGCGAGCGGGCGCGTATTTTGAACTATGCCTACGCACCTCGAGAATAATAAATGTTCGTGCAGCACGTCTCACTCCGCGCTCTGGGTATCGGTCGAGTTGATATGGCCATGAAATTTCTGTACTTGTACTATTACTTATTCCGTGGTCAAAGTTAAGTAAATGATGAACTTGCCGCCCGGGGCATAGGCTCCCCCTCTACATCCGGAGCTGGGTGTAATCAGGTAGGGTTTGATACCATATATCCACTATCACTAGGGCTGCCATCTCTAAAACCTGCCCTCCAGGACCGGAAGCGTAAGTTCCCCGGATTTAGGAGCTTTCACCCCGGACATCTCAATACTTTTTTCATTCACTTACATCTTGATTAAAATATATTTACTTAGACAAAAGATCGTGTTTTCGAAGTTGGTTTATGATCAATTCAGAAATAGTCTCGGACGTTTCATTTACCGTGGTCTCTACTTCGAGGAGTTTCGTAGTGATTCCTTCATTTCTTACATCGAAATATTGAACTGCCAAAGGAAATAGTTTCTCACTGCCATGGTTCCTAGCATCAATAGCCGCGCTTATAAACGGAATGTTTTGTAAGTAATTTTTTAGTTCGGCAATCGACAAAGGACTTAAAACTCCTGTAGCTATTGCTGTAGCTTTACTACGATTACATGAATGTTTTTTAGCTATTTCTGACCCCGAAAAGATTTCGCGACTGAGAGCGCAAGTACAATCCAGAGAATTGAAAGACATGTGATGGCCGTATGATAAACGAGTGCGCCTTCAGCTGCTCGAATTTGAAGGTCTTCCAAAAAATGTAGATATTTTTGAAGAACCTGCTTGATTTTTCATATTAGTTTTGTGTTTCTGTGTGTTCAAATGTTCATTTATGTCAGAAACGCCTTTGTTTGCGAACGAAATAACAAATCCGGGGAAACCTGGACGGATGGCAGCCCTAACTATCACCCACCAATAAATTTTCACCAAATTCTCCATTTTCAAACCGAGCTCGTACTGTTGAATTCCTGAATATATTTGCGTCATGTGCTGACCCGGGCCACCGACAGACAATACCCCAAATTTTCAATTGAGAGTCGCATATTGCCTGTGCGTTGAAAGAAAAATAACCTTTGCGGTTCCTAAAATTTTCTGGTTCTTCTCCACCTGCAGAGTACAATGCACAGCCCCAATGCATCTTGGAAATCTGCTTATATTGAAAAATTCCTGTCGAATAGTATGGATTTTCTCATCGGGTAATGTTATATAGGTTTCATGCATATGTGCAATTGCCCGGGTCACTTTATTAATGGCTCTGCTTCCTGTTGATTTGTCTACACCAGAAAAATTTCCAACTACAGTAGAACCCCGATTATCCGAGCTATTGTGGACCAAGCCTACCTCGGATAATCAAAAACTCGGATAATACGGACTTTATTTTCTACTGTAAAATAAAATCAGATTTTTAATCAAATTACATATGTTTTATTTACGTACGCAGTAATAACGTAAGTACTAAAGTAATATGTGTGTATATACCTAACAGTATGACAAGGAAACTAAGGAGTAAAAAAAGACGAAATTTTCGTTTGACGTAATCGAGGAGCGCGATTTTTTGCAGCAATGTCTCTCCATTTCTTCATGAGAAAAATGTCTGCTGGCGTTGCTTCGTTTTGCTGCTCCACATAAGCTAAGGCAGTTTCAAATGCAGCTAAAGCTTCCGAATGAGAAACTTTCTGAAAAATGATTTCTTCATCAGAACTTGATTCTTCAATGCGTTGGCGTTCTTGAACGATTGACGCAATCTCTTCATCAGTGTAATCCAATTCCACGTCATCTCCTCTGATCCACTCTTCGACATCATTTTCTGTTAAGGGGTCCTTACTCGGTAGTGACCTCGCCATCTCAAGCAACGGGAGCACAGGTCCCTCAACAGAGAGATCGTCTTCCGAAAAATCGACAGTTTTGCGCCATGACTTCATCAAAGTTTCAGGTTTCATTTCATGCCACGATTGGGCTATCCAAAACATCACGTCCTTAAGATTCACCTTTTTTAAATTTTCTAACGCTTCCAAAAGCGATTTTAATAGGCAAAATCTGTAGTTGCGCTTTAGATTTTGATTTTCCAATACTCCTTGATCCATTGGTTGGATCAATGATGTAACGTTTGGCGGAAAAAAAAGCACTTTGATGTCCTCGCTACATAACTCATCTTCACTTGGATGCGATGGAGCATTATCCAGTAGCAGTAATGCTTTTCTCGACAGTTTCATTTTTTTCAAATGTTGCTCCACTTGAGGACAAATTCTTCATAGAACCATGCTTTGAAGAGTTTTGAATCCATCCATGCACTTCTTTGGTTTCTATAGTAAACGGGCATGGCTGTTGGTGAAAGATTTTTAAAAGCTCTAGGCTTGGCAGATTTTCCAATCATCATGAGGGGCAATTTGTTACTACCAGAAGCATTGCTGCATGCTAAAATTGTTACCCTTTCTTTGCTACGTTTGTAACCAGGAGCTGATGTTTCTTGACGTGATGCTAGGGTTTTGGCTGGCAAAAGTTTGTAATTTAGGCCAGTCTCATCTCAGTTAAAAATTTGATCTGGGCTGTATCCATCGTTGTTTATTTTTTGTTGAATTTTTTCTTTAAATGTTATCAGGGTAGAGCTGTCTGCAGATAGCTTCTCACCACAAATATTGAGCTGACGTATATCATGCCTCTTTTTCCATCTATCGAGCCAGCCTTGGCTTGCTGTGAATTGTTTCGTTTCCTCCGGGAAAAGAGTGCGCAGTGATAATGCTTTCGCTTGTAGAATTGGTCCAGAGATCGGAGCTCCCTTATCACGCTGTTGTGTAAACCATAAAAATAACGCATCTCCCAATTTTTCATAGTCACTTGATTTCATGGATTTTTTCTTTGAACTGCGGTTCAACAGTGAACTACAGTTGAAACTGTTTATACAACCGGCCCTAAAAGTTCTAACATATCGCTAAAGTAATAGGTCATTCTTCCAAGACACCAGACGCTTTTTATGTATGCTCTTCCTCATAATATACCTACGTAAATATTGCCATCTGCTGACCAGACTTTTTTTGGACCAAATTTCTTCGCCGCGCTGACCAGATATACTTTTTATCAACAAACACCACATCTCTTACAGTTTCCACCTTGCATATTTCTAGAAAATAGGTTCTATAACCTTTGGTAGTTTCGCTGTATCCTACGAAAGTTCCCCTTTGACTTTTGGAATTTCCTTTAGCTCTTAGCTGTTTTGGTAAATATTTTTAAATTATTTATATCTTAAGACATACCAAATAATAATCACTGGTCGACATGATTCGTGTCGATTCAGTACGAGAAGATTTTGGCTCGCTGAAACCGAATCTGTCCTCAGAAATGCTCGATCACCTAAAGTTTTTGAGACATTCTAACTAAAACTGCAAATATATGCGATTTTTACACATATTTGAGGTTATATAATATCGTTAGGTATTTTTTTTATAAAACTAAGAATAGCGTCTTAAAGTACAATCCTTCCCTTTCGCAAGTGAATTTTGAATTATCCAAATATCTTTTTTTTTTTCAACGATATATAATGATTTGAAGTTACCGTCTCATCAACTAAATAAATTGCTAAATATGCATATGCATGCAAATACCCGATATGATTTTGTATGTCTCGTGAATTTAGAAAAACTTA